TGAAACTTGAGTAGCAATAATTAATTTTAAGATACAAATAAATATATATATATAAATATATATATATATATATATATATATATATATATATATATATATATATATATATATATATATATATATATATATATATATATATATATATATAACAGCCGCCAATATTTACAAACGCTTTATAGGAGCTACATATAAAATCGCTAAAATACACATACTATTTGGTAAAAAAAATCGCAGGTTATCTTAGAGAACTCTCATTACAGTCGTGCCAATAGAAGCGTTCCGAAAAATGTTGATCAATTCATTTCCTAACTTCGAGGAATTCCTCTGAACAATTCCTCAACAATTTGATATAAGTTCCTTAAAAAGTTCCTAACTTCCTGTTTCATTGACCAATCAGATTTTATATTTTATTTTTGAGCAATCTGATTGGTCAATGAAACAGGAAGTTAGAAACTTTTTAAGGAACTTATCAAATTGTTGAGGAATTGTTCAGAGGAATTCCTCGAAGTTAGGAAAGGAATTGATCAACATTTTTCGGAACACTTCTATTGGCACAACTGTAATGAACTTTGGAATACAGTAGTTTAGTTTAGTTTAGTTTAGGCTTCCTCCAGCGCCTGTAAAGAACACTGGACCAATAAAGATTGAGGGTGACCCTTACTCGATCTCTACACTCTATAGGAACAACATGCAGTTTAGAACTGATCGAGCTTTCTAGTATAGATAAAGTTATGGATAAGTTTATTCTATTCAACTAACCAGTTTTAAGCGTACATTATCTTAACGCAAACATGATCTTAACATAATTAGCTCTGTGATAAAATGAAATGTGCTTGCCACCTGTTTTCTAAAGTGGGCATGCAAATTAAAATGCCTCGCCCTCTCAGGATATTTTCAAATGCCGAAAACTAATAACTACCGATCAGAAACTTTGTATAATTTAAAGGTATATGCCTCGTTATACTGCCACAGGGTTTTGCCCACGGACACGGTGGGTGGCGTGAGACGGCAAGGCCCAGCACCCAGCAGTAACGCGTGGGACTCACGCCAAAGCCGACTCTTCTGCCTGCACTTGAAGGGTATCGAATATGTTATACGACATTCGATAAGGGGCCATTCACAAGGGACGTCCGGCAAAATGATAGATTTCCCACCCCACCCCCCGTCATTGTCTGAATTTGGTGACCCACCCTCCCTCTGGACATCCAGCATGTCTTGCAAAACCTCGAATCTTAGTAACCGGGCCTCTGTTATGAAGGATCGTAATCCCGGGGTTCTTTACCTTGTTTGAAGCGGCCTGCAAAATTTATTATGTTTTGCTATAGAATTCTAAATATACATTTTGTAAAACAAAATATCCCTAGCTTAAAATATTTATACTGTTTAATATTTATTATATTCAACATTTAATATTTGTTTTATTCAACAAGAATATTTGTGTTTGAATTGTTTTTTTTTAAACATCACGTAGCTTGCAAGTTGCGACGGGGGGGGGGACTGGGGGGGAGGTGGGTAGAAATTAATAAATAAAATTTAGCTACAAACAGGAAAATAGTCAAACCACACAAAGTTTGAAAATAGAAAAGAAAATATTATAGAAAAGAGACACCTATTAAATCTGGTCGGTAAATATTGCAAACTAGTATACTAGCGTGCACAAGAGCTTCTAACCCAGGTTTGTAGTGAGCTAGTGAGCTCAAGTCACTTGTAGGTAACGTGGTTACCTCGGATCTTAACATTTTACACCCATGTTTCACTTTGTAGCAGATATTGCATACAAGCAATGTTGTATTTTTTCTTTGGTCAATTTTGCTACTACAGCATGGAATTTGAGTAAATACTATGTTATTGCCCCAAAATAAGGCAGATGTCTGATCAATAGCTCTAATCATTTTGCACTTTGTTTATTGGTGTCGTCCTTCTATATTTCAAAAATATAAAGTCTAAAATATTATCAATAAGTGGTCATAATTCCCTTATATGGCTGCAGGTGGCAGAACCCTGCACTGTGACACGGTAAATTTTAAACAAAAACAAAGCAAAGGTTACAAGAGCCCATTCTTTCATTCCTATTTACAAGTGGACTGTATACAGCTATTTCGATCAATTAAGGTTGTTCACGAGCAAAGCGGAAAAGTCGAATACGAGCGCGAAAGGCTGCTGGGAACCGCTTTGAAAATTCATTAATTTGTTAGCGATTCCCAGCAGCCTTTCGCGCTCGTATTCGACTTCTCCGCTTTGCAATCATGTGCAAGTTATCCTCAGACACATTTTTTCAAAAATACTTTAATTAAAATAGACTGAAAATGAGTTTATGGTTGCTTGTCGAAAGAACATTTTTCAACAATGGTAGTGTTAGTCTGTGATTATCGTAAAACAACCAGGTACAAAAATGCAAAATTTTTATGAGTATACTATTTCTTACCGCTCACATTCATGCTCAGCTAAATTTAGGTATGAAAATATTGATCAGCGTCCTAAGCCAGCCAAGCTGTTCAACAGCTTGGCTTAGGATTATACAATATACGATTCACCCGAATTTTGCATGGGGTGGATCGGCGAGCCATTTGTTTTCTCTTCGTCAAATACACGTGGAATGAAAAAGAGGGCCTAGGAGCGGCTGAGAAAAAAAGCAACTAACTATAAGCTTCATTTTCTGGGACCGCAAGGCCAACGAAAAAATTTCTGCAAGTATATAAACGACAGGCAATCTTATGTTTCTC